AAATCAACAAGAAACACTGTAAGACCTGTACTGTCACAGCAATGCGGCTTTTATAAGCTTTCAAACTCGGTAGTTGAAAACTCTCTTACAGGTTTGGGGTTGGGAGAATGTGGGCGGGTTTGGTGGGCTTGGTTCCAGACTGCAGGTTGGGTTCAGGTCTACTTCATGTTGCTCAGTTTGAAACTCTGTCTTAATGAGTAGCAGATGCTCAGGGTATTCTTCTTCTGATGATAGCAGAAGTGCAAGTAGGCAAGGGGAAGGATGAAATGTCTCCTGAGGCATTGACGCTGGTACAGCACCACTTCTGTACACATTCTATGGGCTAAAGAAAACCACATGACCAAACCAACATCAATGAAACAGGAAAGTATTTCTGCCCTCAATAATGGGTGATACCAAAAAGTCACATGCAAAAGATGTAGATGTATAATTTTAAAATACAGAGGACGTGAAGAATTGTGAACCATGACTCAGTGTACCACAGACTGCTGAGAAAGAAATAGGTGAACTAGGATTGACCAAGTGAGAAAATACAAGTTACCAATTAACATATCAGCAGTTAGACCTCAAAACAAATCCAGTTAAAATAGCAAGAAACCAACATTGTCTATAAAATTAGCAAAAAAAAAATTTTTTTAATGAGTCTACTCACTGCTAAATTGAGGTATAATAAGCAAAAATGAAAAGACTTTCATTTTTACAGTAATAGTAAAAAGAGCAATGTTATCTTTAAAGATATGTAAAGCCTTTGTTACTTATTTTTCTGGGTATGATTGGAATTTTTAAGACTATCAAAAAGTTAAAATTTCCCAAGTTTAAATTTCTATGCCTATTATATCTAACACACACATATTTTGGATCACATTTAATTTTGTAAAAATTTTCATGCCTCGTTAAAATAGTTTTAAAAATATTTTATTGATTATGCTATTACAGTTGTCCCAGTTTTTCACCCTTTGCACCCCTCTACCTGCCATTACCCACTTTCTCTGGCAAAATCCCTGTCCCTTTGTCCATGTCGCGGGTCGTGCATATAAATTCTTTGGCTACTCCATTTTCTGTATTGTTCTTAACATCCCCCTGCCTATTCTGTTACTGCCGACCTTGTTCCAGGATTCCTTGTTCCAGAGATATCCCTCCTGATTTTTAAGTACCACACAAGGGGGTGGGACCAGCCTGATCTGCATCTCTTCATCTCCGCCATCCTACCTGTCTGAATGAATGTGACTTGTTTAATTCATTGATTGTTGTACTTCCACACATCTTGATTTGCTGACAGTTCTGAGTGTTAGCTGTTTTGCAGTTTAATTATAACTTTTGCTGTGGTTGTGCTAGGAGGTAAGCCTTGTTTACCTGTGCCCCTGTCTTTGATAATGCCCGTTAAAATAGTTTTAGTGTTTTTCTCTAATGTGCATCGCCTAGTAATGAAAATGTGAGCTGCAGCCCTAGCCAGGTAATTTGGTTGGTTGGAGAACTGTCCTGTACAACAAAAGGTTGTGGGTTCAATCCCTGGTCAGGGATCAGTTCAATCTCTGATCAAACCCCAATTTGTGGGTTTGATCCCCAGTTAGGGCACATATGGGAGGTAGCCTACCGATATCTCCCTCTCTTCCATCCTCTCTCTCTATCTAAAATCAATAAACATCCTCAGGTAAGGATATAAAATAAATATAGAAAATTAAAATAAAATAAAGATATGGGTTCCCATGCTCAAAATTATTGAATTTCAAAATGGCAATAATAGAGCACTGAACCAAAGGCAGGCCCTTCTGAGTACAGTGCTCTGCGTAACTGCATGGGTTGCACACTCATGCAGTGGACCCTGTCGGCAGGTGCCTGCCATCCTCGGGAGGCCCCGATTCTTGCTATCCCGTTTCCAAGTCTTCTCACATGTTCCCTTATCAGGAATGCCCTTTCACCAACACCCAGTTTCTGCCCATATTAAGCCTTAGCCTTTCCCCAGACCCACCTATGAAGAGGCAACAAGTTGAGAACTGGTCTTTGCATATCTCTGATCCCTCCTCTCCTATGGCCTTTCATAGTCCTGACAATCTACACACATTAATTTAGTCCTTAATTAATACTTCCCTGTGTCATTTCCTTTTTTTTAAAGGAAACTGTGTGAGGCAATATGTTTTATTTTTTAAAGATTGTATATGTTTATTTCTAGAAGGGAAAGGGAGGGAAAAAGGGAAGGAGAGAAACATCAATGTGTGGTTGCCTCCCATGTGCCCCCCACTAGGGACCTGGCCCACAACCCAGGCATGAGTCCCAGACTGGGAATTGAACTGGTGACTACTTGATTTGCAGGCTGGCACTACACCACTGAGACACACCAGCCCGTGTTATTTTCTTACTGTTTTATTCAGTTCATTTAATATCTATTGTGGGCCAACTATTTGCCATGACCGCACTAGGTACTGGGCATAAAAAGTCCTGACACAGCAGAGACCTTGTTTGACTTGTCCATCCCTCTATCTCCAGAGTCTCACATGGTGACTGGCTCATGGCAGACACCATACGTATTTGTTGAAAAGTGCTGAATAGACTTTTCTCTCTATCATATATTGAACGTCTAGTGACCAAGAACTGTTTTCATACGTTTTGTTGATTGAGAACACACTCTGTGCCACACACTGTTCCAGACGTGAAGACATTGTTCTAGACAACTTCCTTTACTTGTATGTTCCCTAGCACATTATCTTTATTATAATTCACCCAACAATTCTATGAAATAGGTCCTATTATTATCCCCTCATTTTATAGATGAGAAAACAAAGTCTCAAAAAGGTTGAATAATAGGCCCCAAGTCCAACAGTCACTGGGGTTTGAACCCAGGGGACCAGACTCTAGCCTGATCTTTTGACTGCATTGCTAAGCTGCCTCTAATCAGTACTTTTTGACTTGCACTAAAGAGATCAAGGAAGAGCAGTGTGGTGGCTCAAAACAAATCCATAAATATACATCAGGTAGAGGTTGTGCCTTATAAAAGGAAGCCATTGTTATATAATTTCTTGACTAACACCAGATACAATAGGTGCATGGTTCTATGATACTATAGAACATGATACTGTAGAACAAGTATCATTTATATCACTGAAATCACCCAATAAGAAAACACTAAATAAAGATATGCCCCATGAGGGCACCTTAGGTGACCTGTAGGAAGAGAACAGACATGGAAGTTTCTAAATGTTGGTCACTTTACCAGACAGAAAATAAGCAATAAACTTTTTAGGCTGGGGGTTCATTTGTGAAACTCAGTAATACCTGTTGATATCAACAAGCTTGCCAAGGGATTAGCAGAAGAAAAGGAAAGGGGTTGAAATTTTTTAAAAAATAGGAGAGAGGAAAATGGGAAGGGGTGAATCTAATGGGATGAAGAGTGGTGGAAGCCACTAAGAGCTGCCTTGGCTGCGGTGCTTCTACTGTGGAAGGGTTTTTAGTCCTGTGGGGCTCAGTGAAATGGAGATAGCAAGTCACCGTTTGTTATACTCTGATTCGGGTTCCACATCAAGTAAATGGACTAGCACATACCTCACTGCCTTTAGAAGAAAGCACAAGGCCCAGGTTGATGCTATTTGTTGGGTATGGTAATGGGGGATTTATGCCACTCTAGAGATCCATGATAAGTTGCAGGGGGTGAAAGCAGCTATTAACACTGATTAACTGAAAAGTTGACCAGCACACACATCCATTGTTTCCACCCGCCTCTTTCTTTAGTCATGGGCTTTGTCTGGCTGGCTTCACAAGAGACAAATGCCATTACTAGAGACCAAATAACCTTATTTAGGCAGTGGTCAGATAATAGAGATGCTCCAGGTATTAGCCTGACTGCATTAGTCTGATTTGTACTACTGTTCACCTTGTCCTGGGCATTAATGGAGACAAAGGCTTGGAATTACAGGAGCACAGATAAGCTGTGGATTAGGGCCTGTGTGTTTTGAGTGAAAGACAATTCTACCTCATGTTTTCATTTCCACTGTCATCACATTTGATTTTTTCCTAGAAGTTAAAGTCCAGCTTTTTCTCCTGAATATACACATATCCTTTCCAAATTACTATCAATCGGAACTGATCATGAAAGTTACTCATTATTTCTTTTAACAAGATCAGCCTTTATCTTTTAAGTTTTTGGAAATGATTTTAGAGGAAATACACAGCTGATTTTGTATATTATCTTGCTTCTTACATATTATAGACTAAATTCACAGTATTTAATGGTAGTGTTATTAATCTGAAAATATAAAAGGATGTGTAATTACACTTATAGTTATTTAACATTATAAATTCTAGTATTTAAATTTTTTGATTTGTTATTTGTTTCAGTTATAAAGGCATCATTTTTATTGTAAAGGATTTATGAATATAACAAAACAAATACAACTCATTTCAATTATAGATAAAATTGAATTTTAGAACCATGCAAATCAGTTATATTAAATTGCACTGAGAAAAACTGAGATAATAGTATTCTAGACATTATCTAGACATTTCTTCCCTCACCAGACATTTTATAGATGTGATCGGTTTTTATAATTAAAAAAAATTTAAGTGTATTACTAGTCATTGATGAATGTATGTGATGCTGTTTAATTTTTACTAATGTCTATAATTTTATACAGAATCCTCATACTCCTCAGAGATTTGAGGATTAGGTTTAATTTTAGATAAATTCTAGATAATGATTATTCTTTGAAAATCTCCATTTATGGAAAGTACTATTTCAAAAGTATTTATTTTATTAATATTATGGAATACTTTGTTACATACAGGACTTGAAATCTTTTTCCAAACTAAGCAAACATCAAGAAAGACAGAGCTATATGTCTGACATGACAAGATGTCAGAAAGATGCACAGAATACCAAGTATGATATTTTAAAAAATAACAGCAAAAACAAATACGTATGTATTTGTGTATTTATGTATACATATATATGTGTACACATATATACATGCTCTTTTACACCAAAAGATCTATAAAATGTTTAATGATGGTTATCCGCGAAGGATGAGATTTGAGGAAGATTTCAGTCTATTTTTATATTGCTTGAATTTTTCACAGTATGTAAATATGGCATTTGGGATTAAAGTAAAAGGCTAGTTGAAAAGCTTACACATCATGTGACACCTTTCCCTCCAACCCACTCCTTGTGACTTCTGGTCCTCCGACTTAATATAATTTAACGAGAACCCAATAAAAAGGAATGAAAGTTCCTGGTGCTTCAAATTTTATATTAATGAAAGCAGCTCTTTATATTGGAAAGGTGGCCCAGTATGACAGCAGAGTGTTCCTTAGAAAACATTTAATGCCTCTGGTCGTCTTCCACTTACTACCATTGGGCCCCTTCTTTCCTCCTCCCCCTCTCCATCTCACCAATAGTAAAACGGCTTGTTGCTGACCGGTTTCAGGGACACAGCTTTCTGCCACCACACGTGCTCTCAGTAAATGATTTTAAAAAGCTTCAAAATCTGAGTCATGCTACTTTTCCTCAGAGATAACAGGCAAACTCCCTCCAGGCTTTCTCATGCAATAGGAAAAAAGGAAAGCAAAAAGAAAAAAGTCAGTAAGAATCTCCTACTCTGGTTAGCTTTGGAAGGGCAAAGGACAGAATAGGAAATTTAAAAAAAGGAAGCAAGGAAGAATTCAATTCAAATGGGCGAAGTTGAAATAGGCTTTCAGGAGACAAAGTCAGAGCCCTCAAGCTAACATTTAGACAAGAACACCCACTTTGGCCTTCCATTAATTAACTAGAAAACAAATACCCAGATTTCCAGTGGTAGGACTCCTTTCTTGTGATGCTACTTAATCCTATTTGTGTCTTTAATTGATAGGTACAATGGGAAATGCAAAGAAAATACATAGTTTTTTCCCCAGAAAGTGCCTTGATTATATCCAGCAACTACGTTAGGGCACATACACAAGGCAGCTCAGTTGTCTCGTCTTCTCAGTCAGAATATTACTTGTAACAAAATATATAGTTAATTGGAAGTCATTACACTAGAAATAGATATAAGCCAAATGATCATTGTCACTTTAATGAGTGAAATTAAAGTATAGCATTAAATAACCTAGAAAAATATTTTAAATTTGCAGTTACATTGCTCAATTCTTTTGTACAATGTAGTACCAGTGGTATGAATACAACGACCGATAGTTTTATATTTCTACTTTGGTATAATAACTTTGCTTTAAAAAAAAGCTTAAACTGGCATTCTATAAGGATTTGTATTGATATATGGTGAAAAATTCTCACTGCTTTATGCCAGAAGTCAAGAGGAACTAAAGATTTATGAATAAATAATCTATAATATATTAAAGCATAATCATGTTTCAAAATGCATTTGAAGGAAACTAACTGAAACAAATCACACCTCTGTGCCATTCTTCAGATTACTTTACTTGAAGTAGTTTGTAAACATAATCCAGTTTGTGGAGCCACTTAATCATGAGCTTACTGATTTTAGCAAGCTAATTTATTAGGTTAAATTTGCTCACTTAAAAAATAGCTGGCTTTTTCTGAAAATGTTTATTAAAATACATAGAAAAGGCCTTTTGTATTGAAAAGTGCCCAAGTATAATAGGTACCACGGTATAATAGTAATTATTTACATTATATTTTCAGAAAAATGACAATGTTCAGATTAAATGCAGAAAACAAAACATCACACTTTTAAAACTTGATATTTCCATTGATTCTTCATATTCTGCAACTGGAAGATAATTTCACATGTTTAGTTTTTTATCTATTCCAAGAGATTTGTGTTGAAATTTTTTTTTGCCATTAGAAACTGTGATTCTCTGTGGGACCTCCTCAGTTTTGCACGTCGATTTTGGAACCAGATCTGAAGTTAAGGAGAAATGAAATAGATCTCAGAAACATTATTTCATAATTCTTAACATTTCAATCATCAGGAATAACTAAATTTGAAAATTACCTGTATTCTGTCTTCTTCTAGATTCAATTTTTGAGCTAAGTCTTCTCTGATATCAATGCCAGGATAGCAGTTTACTCTAAAGACATTTTCCAACACTTCAATCTAAGAATAAGGAAATAGTTATTTAAAATGTTGAATCATGATATTTCATAAAAAATGGACTTGCACTAGCCAGAAACTGTTAAAAATGATACATCCTATTGTTTCATTAATAAGGCCTAAATTGAAATCCCAAGTGAATGGGCTTTTGCTCAACAGGGTATTAGTTAAAGCCTTCGTAATATTATTATTAGTTGAAAAAAAACTCCCACCTGGTTTTGAGTAAAAGCAGTTCTTGGTCTTCTGCCTCTATACCAACTCAACTCTCTTTTCAAAGACAGTCTTTCTGAGGCCGTAAAGTAATTTTCGTATTTCAAAACTCTTTCTTCTGGCACTGGGTAATCCATGGTACAAGGGAGTAAGATCCCATTAGGGAGGCTCGGGACTGGTAGACACAAGTTAATATCTTTCTCTAAAAACAGAAAAATAAACCCCATCTTAGATGTCCAATCCTGTATTCCACAAAGTTCTGTAAGGATTTCAGGAACTTGTCTTTAATTTTCCTAGTGGCATTTTTCTGGATTTCACAAGAGAACTGACCTTTCATCAACCAAAAAGCAAACAAAAAATGAAGATCCTGCCTTGGTGATAGAGAACATTTTGGCCTCTGAATGCCATTTATATTTCAGTAAGAAAAGACAATATCTGATGTGTCAAATAAACAGAGATCTTCTGAAGTTAATGCAAGCGCTTGGCATTTCCTGGGAGTGCACGCTATACCCACTTGGATTCAAGGCTGATACTCTTTTTATTTCCCATAGAACTCAGCTGGAGGCATTTAAAGTCTCAGATAGCTCAGTAATATAACTGGATGAAACTGCAGTTTCTTTCTAACTCTTTAGTATCTAGTAGTATACATTTAAAGGCTGAATTAAACAGTGCAAAAGAAATAAAGAGTTTAAAAAATTGAGCATACCTGAGGAGCTGCAGGTGTCTGCCCAGGGCCTGTGGGGTTTCATGGATGGAACACAGTCTTTCTTCTGGTCCAATCCTAAAATGCTTTCAATTGAAAAGGAGCAGGGAGAGGGTTTGCTTTCCCCAAGCTGAGCACCTTCCTGAAGGCTAGGAGACATCCTCATGGGGGCTGCACAGGTCAACAGCTCTGGCCTCTGTGCACCTCTTGGCTGGCTCTGCACCCACACAAACAGGGCTGGGATCTTCCTGCAGTTCACCTTAGGGATCCGCTGACAAGGGGGCTGGATTTAGAACGTCACTAATTAAAAATCCTGTCTTAGAAAGTTTTAGCATGTCAATGAATACCCAGCCAGCAGCTTTAGGAGTTAATTGTTTATTTGTTTGCAAGTAATTAGCAACTAATGGCTACACCAGGGGGGCCACCTACAGGGACAAAAGTGTTATCTCTGCTAAGCAGAACGCAGACTTAACTTTCTTGAAAGAAGTGATGCACAAACTAGCACTTCTCTTTTATTTGAAATCATTAATGTATAAAATCATGCTTTTTATTCTGAAGTTTATACTTTCACGGATTCCAGTTACCTAAACATACAAGCAAGATAGGAAAGCAGTCAAGTAATAAATAATCTAATTTAAGTGAATTTTCTGCCAAGGAAATTGGAAAAAGTAATAATCTCTTAATGCTATTACGATAATTCTGATGAAAATGCCTGTTTTTCATATGCATATATAATAGTAAACACTGTCAATGAGAACAATAATATTTGGAGTGCAGCATACTGGAAAAGGTTGGCAATGTTATTAACACTGAGTGTAACTGTTCCAAGTACTTGGATTAATGCATAAGGAACAGTTGCACCAAGTATTTTAAATAATTAATAAGATAATTCCCTTCTTTCATTTTTTGTTTTAAAAGAGATACAAGTTTATATGAAGATTCATACTGAATCTTCTCCAAGCAATTTAAAAGCATGACTTTCTCCATCTCCAAGCAATTTAAAAGCATGACTTCAACCTAAAGAGAATTTCTTACCACAGTTATTTCAAAGAATACAGTGGACTGTATTTTTTAAAGAAAAATTCTCTGAGGCACTGGGGGGTTTCCATGAAGACAATAGGTTTGTAAAAATAATCAAGAACACAATGTTTTAATTTTGTAATCCTAAGAAAACTTGAAATTAAAAGAGAAATACAGCTGCTAATGGGAAAGATTTTGAAGCATCCACTCTCAGCAAAAGGTATGATACTTTTAGTTCTTGTATTCTACTGCAACATTTCTTCCAGTACCTTCCTGATGAGAAATTTCAGTAATGAGCTTTATCATGCTTTTAAACAGCTACTAGACTTTTCTCCGGGAAAAGTAGTCTCTGCTCAGACAGGAAATAGCCGTTACAAAATGGAGCTCAACCTCATCAGATTTTGTCCTGGTATGATGTCATAAATATTAAGCTAAATTCTTATGCAAGCTCTAGAGTGACCAAAAGATTCACACACAAAACATCAGCAAGCACACTCGGGATGTGTGTACAGATATACAAGTAAAGCCATGCTGAGAATGAATAAAGTAGTAAACATTTATACCTCATGGAGGTTTCTGTGCAAAAATGGGGGAGACCGTAATCTGGGAAGACTTACAAGTCTTCCTACAGGAAGACATAATTTATGCCCTTCCCAGATTCCTTTCTCTCTTTTGAAACATTTATTCATTCATCCATCCATTCTTTCCACAATTGGCTGAACACCTGAATAAACCAGAATAAACAGAATAGGATCCTTGCCCTCATAAAGCTCACTGTGGTACTGGGTAGGGTGGACATGGAAAGACAGAAAATAAACAATAGTAAATAAATAAGTAAATTATTTCATACATTAATCAGTTCAAAGAACAAAAAAGGGCAACAGGTAAGCTGAATCATCAGTACATAAGGTGGGAAGAGACCTCACTGAGACCCCCACAGAGTAGTGCCTCAGAGGTGCAAGTTAAAAAGATGTTATAGCACATGCTGAACCAACTCCAGTCTTCAGTTTCTTCTTTACCAACAAGAACAGTCCAATATTTTTATTCATCTTGAGTTTTTATCTGCATTTGATGAAAAGGTAGGAAAGCATTTCTCTAAAGACTGAGGTAAATGTTTTCTCATGTATTCACTCAATAGATTTTTATAGAGCACTTAATATGTGCCAGACACCATTCCGGGCAGTTGGAAAAACAGAGACCAAGAGTTCAGTCATAACTTGCAGAAGTCACCAAGTAGCAAATGGCAGGGCCTTGATTTGGATTTTCTGTTTGCAAATTCCCTGTCCTGTTCTCTTTACCAAGTAATGGCCACTGGAACATCTTCACTAATGATTTGAAGATCAAGTATATCAAGTGAACTGATCAATTAAGAAAAACGTTGTGAAACGTTGCAAATGATATATCATTAATATCTTTCAACAGCTATTTTGATATGAGAAATCAAGTTGATAATTGACACCAAAAAGATTCCAAAATCATAAATTGGATAGTCTATTATAAACATCTATATTTATAAATATTATAAACTTGTAAATCCACCCAGGATTGTTGGTTTTTTTTAATCCTTACTCAAGGACAGGCTTATTGATTTTTAGAGACGGAAAGGAAGAGAAACATCAATGTGAGGGAGAAACATTCATTGGTTTGCCTACTGGAGACCAAGGCTGCAACCTAGGTGTGTGCCCTGACTGAGAATAAAACCTGCAACCTTTCAGTTTAAGGACAATGCTCCAACCAACTGAGCCACACAAGCCAGGGCCACCCAGGTTTTGATCATTTATTTTCTAATTGTGTATTACAATTAAGTCCCAAATCATTAACATCAGGAAAAATACCCAATGTCTTAGATGTTTTGGCAGAGATTTTTATAAATCAACCATATAATCATAATGCTCACAGTGTGAGCCTAATAACAAAGAAATGTAAGAAGTAAAGCTCTAATGACACTTGTTACCTTACTTTCACATAGGATTTACACTGTCCTATTTGAGACTGTCAGTATTTTTAAACGTTAAAACACGTTTTCTAAAATAAAACAGTTTATTTCTTACTACAATACACCAAGTGTCTCCTAGAACAATGCCAAAACAGATATTCAATAAATATTTGTTGTATGAGCAAATAAACGAATAGATGAATGGATGGGACTAGGAAGAGGACATATGTAAATTGGACAGGGAATGTGAATGCTGTGGGATTATTATTGTTGCCATTGCTTTAAAAACTTTTTTCAAGTAAGTTTACATTCAGTATTATTTTGTTTTAGTTTTGGTGTACAGCATACTGGACAATCATATACTTTACAAAGTGTTCCCCTTGATATTTCCATACCCTCCTAGCACCATACAGAGTTATTACAATATTATTGACTATATTCCCTATGCTGTACTTTACATCCCCATGACTATTTTGTAACTACCAATTTGTACTTCTTAATCCCTTCACCTTTTTCACCCTGCCTCAGCTCCCTCTCCCACCTGGCTTTTAGTGTGTAAAGTACTCCCAATTTTCTATGAAACACTTATATATCACTCCAGGGTAATCCACAAATTAGAAGACATTATGGCATTCTGTACTAAAATTTAATACAAAGTGAGATGGAGGATTCATTTTAAAAATCTGAGTTTAAAATTTAAAAATCCCGAGTCATGTGGAACAATTCACGCCTGTGGCACTCTGTCTCTCCATTGTTGTTACTTGAGACACATGGTTTCTCTCCAGTGTTCTCAAGGTTTGAGAGAGTTCAGACTGTTTCAGAAACACTTCTGTCTCTCCTAGCACCCATCACAGTGCCTGTCACACAGGAGATATTAAATAAAGGTTTACCGAATAAGTTCACTTTATTTATAGTATTTAAAAAACCTTCCAGCCTTTGTTCTTAAATCTCAAGAGCACAGTTTCATATTCTTACATTTTCAAATCAGTTAAAATTGTTTTCAGTAAAATGTAGTGCTTTGCACATAGTAGGCCCTAGATTTTAAAAACTGATATAAACTCATTTGAAGCACAAGTGCATTTTTATTTTAAAAAATATTCATTCAATACCATAATAATAGAGTAAAATATGATGGTCTTCTTTAATTCTACCACATTTTTACTCCCCAACCCACTGGTTACCACTACTAGCAGTTTAGTGCCCTTCCTTCCTGTCTTGTTAAAAGGCCTTCCCATAAATAGGTCGATGCACACAGACATTTTTACCCACATGGAGTCAGACATGTGTTGTTCTGCCATGTGGTTCACGACCCTCCCACCCCCACCCTATACACAATGTCAGTACATGTAGCTCTATCTTCATTCTTCAACAGTTGCTTGGTGCTAGACCTCAAGTGAATGAACCATAATTTACTGAACAACACCCCTGATAATGAGTACTTTGGGCTGTCTCCAATTTTTTTTTACTATAACACATTATGGCAATGAACACCTTGCACATACATATTAGCACACATGCAGTGTCTCCATGGAAAATTTTCTATGGAAGTATATTCTTTGGTGCATGCTGCCATATTTCCTTCTGAGAAATCTTTATAATGAACACTCCCACCCAATCTAGTCCTTGTCCCTATGTCCTCCCCAGATTGACAGTGAGAACAGACAACACGGGGCTAGGCTAAATTAGACTCAGGTCCTCTCCAGATTCAATATTCAAAGATAAAACAGCTTAGAAGGGGGCACAGGGGAGGGCAATGGGGAAATGTGCAATACTGTCAACAGTCACAATAAAGGGGAAAAAAGGCTCTGAGGGGCTCAGGCCTTTACTTCAGTGCCATTTAATCTAACCATTGTAGACTAAATGGGAGAACCTAATTCGCATTTATAACATTGTTTCTAGGGAATAAATATTATGGGTCTTACCAGTTTAAGAACAAACTTTTCAATCATAACAAACATTTATTGAACTTAGCATATATCAGGGGTACACTGGGTACCCAGGAAATGAAATGATTTCTGCCCTCAAGAAACTTATGATCAAGAAGATAGTAATTAATATTAATTTTGTTGGGTGTGATTATGATTATGTTAAAAAATGCTCACAAACTACCAAGTTTACTATCAACAGTGT